CCCGCCCCTAACCCCTAAAAAACCCCAAGCCCTTATCATACATTTCTAGACTGAATACAAATAGGATCTTCGGTTTTCTGGGTTGAGCATATTTACAGTATAAGTACACAAAAATACAGATTTCAGTGCATTGTTGCATTTAAGTAGTGAAAAACAGAAAACATGCTGAATATGATGCATCAATGAACTGTACACCAGATCTCTCCTTACCCTTTTTCTCATGGCTCTAAAGAATCACTCTTTTTGTAAGGCTATCTTAAGGATAACTCAGGTGGTCCCAACACAACTTCCATCTACTTAAGCAGCTGGGTTTAACTACGAGGTTTGCTCTGCTTTGTGTGGGAATCCGGACAAGACATCCATACCTTCAGGGGTTCTTGCAGCATCAATACTTCTCTCAGTCTATACTCCCTCTTTTGCCTCTTTAAGAGCAAGTGAAATCCTACACACTGAACTCGGCAAAACAGGCCATGCGATTAGTGCCTTTAAATCACCACGGGCATGGTCAGACCTACACAGAAGCCAGGAGTGCAGCAAGCACATCATGAACTTGGCAGCTCTGCTCTGACAAGGGCTGCCTGGTACACACAGCAGGCTGTACCGGGCTGCCGTGATGGTGGTGTTGTGCTGTTAACAGAATCATCTCAGATGATGCCTACATAGGCTGCAACCAGTCCTGTAACTGAGCTGCAGACACGTGCTAAATTGCTGCCCAAACCAGAGCCCCAAAAATGGACACAAAATTGCAGTAAATACAAGGCTGAATTCAATTAGACAGGGATCATCTACAATACTCAATATCGGAGAATAATTTTTTCTCACCCAGAAAATAGGTGAGAAAAATGTTCACCCAGAAAATTCTGATTTTGGCCAATAACCAAGACAACAAAGAATATCTCAGAATCACACAATAGTATGGACCTATTTTAAGATGCATTCTAAAATGAATTCTAAGTTTCTTGGGAAAATAATCTTATTTGAACCCAACTAGGTGTTTACTTTCATACAGTTTATTCTGAAAATTAAAAAGGATAAGCTAAATTAAACACACTCTTAAATGAAAATAAGCAGCTAGTAAAAACTTACACTGTTTTGTATAAATTAGTTAAAACAAAACCCACAAAACCAGAAAGCAACACACTACAACTTGTTGCCAAGTAGCAACACAATACACTGAGATTGTAAGCATACACGGTGCACGTACAGTCCTGCAAATAACTACTTTCAAGAAAGTTATAGAGTTTCTTCTCTCATACAGGAGATGGCAAACACAATTTTTGAGTGGAAGACTGAAAGCTGTTTTCCACGCTAACTCTGCCACAATGTGTATTCTTGCATCAAAGATAAAATTAGCTATGTACACAGAAACAGAAAATGCTGCATTATGTTGAGGGCCTAATTACTTGACTTTTTTTTTTTTTTAAGCCTTGGCCTGCCTAGCTTCTTGCATTATGAGATACATTTACATCCACAATTACAGAGCTTCCACTGGCAGGAAAGGCCTCAAATTTCATTAAGAAAACTAAAGCACAAATAACTTCAGATACTTTACTAAGACATGAAGAACTAACATTTCCTTAATTCCCTGCAAAACTCTCTATTCTAATTAAAATAATTCTAGTGCTAATTTTGCTATTGGAACAGACACAATTAATCAAATAAAACATATTTTACACCTTCTCTACATAGGATGGTTTTCTTTTCTAGACAAATGTCTTGCTATGTCTTACATCCTATTTAGAGAAGCACAATCTAGTGATAAGACCATACCAGTAAATATGTGGAAAACTATTAGAAATCTCCATTTGCCTAATTTATTTTACATTTTTTTTTTCACAAAAAGTTGAAAGTTTCAAAAATGGTAACTACTTGAATGTAAGTTTGATGTACATTTCCACTTACATCTTCAGCTTTTGAACCTTGATCCTGCAAAGATTTTTGTAGTTCTTCAACCTGGGACTGCACTTCTAGGAGTCTCTGATTTACCAATCTAGGAAAGAGATTATACTTTATTTTTCAGAAAAAAACAAACAACTGCAAGAGGAAGCCTGAGATTTTCAGTGTCCTCTGTTTTCAGGTCAGCTACACAAGGGATGCAATATTGTATTTTATTCACAGAAAATTTACAACAGTAGTTAGAGCATACAGCAGTTTCAGAGATTATAGCCTGTGGTCATCCAGAACATTCTGACACTCTTCCAAGACAACATAAATGCATGTATTAAGAAATCATTTCTATATATTTGAAACAAGAGTATCTAACAGTCAGTTTTACTGTGTGATAGCTACTAGCTTACTGCTTTTATACAGACACAGAATCCTAAAACCTGTATGTTGTAAGGGATCTCCAAAGGTTGTCTAAATCCAACCTCCTCTTTAAAGCAGGTGCACTTACATTAGATTGCTGGGAACCACGTCCAGGCAAGGTTTGGATACAAGGAAGTCTGACAATCGCTTTGGGCCTCTCTTCTAGAGCTCAGAAATTTATTCTGGGGATGTTTTTTAACTTGCACTTAGTCAGAATTTCCACATACTCCATACTGTGTCTGCTGCCTCTTTCCTTCCACTGTCATTCTCTGAGAAGAGTCTGGCTCTGTCTTTGACACCTTCCCATCAGGTAGATAGATCACAGTTGTATCTTCTCTATGCCACCTTTTCTTTGGCCTGAACAAACCCAGTTCTCAGTCTTATCCCACATATCACATGCTCCAGTGACCCTCACCTTAGCAATATTCTGCTGCACTTCTGTACGTTCATGTCTTTCCTGTACTGGGCAATCCAAAATGGTATGTTATGACCAGATGTGATCTCCTAAGTATTGATAAGAGGTGAAGGATCATTTTTTCAGACTAACTGCCTGCATCCTGGTGAGGACAGCCCAGCTCACAGTCAGCTGCAAGGTCGACAGCTGACACATCTTCCTTTGCTGCCCACTGGGACCTCGGGGCTTTTGCAGCAGAGCTGTTCCCCAGCCTGCTGGTTCCAGTCAGCACTGCAAGGCTCCTCCCAGCCAGGGACAGGGCTCCCATCAACTCACTTATCCAGATTGCTAAGCCCCAGTGAATAACAGCTCTCCCTTTCAGGATATCAATCACTCCTCCCAATGCGGTACCATCCTCAAACTTCGTAGGCGTATAGTCTCTCCCATCAGTCTAGTTGTTAATAAAGGTGATGAGCAGAATTAGTCCCGGTATTGATGCCTGAGGAATTGGTTGCCAGTTGGATTTCGTACCACTGATGATAATGCTTTAGGCATAGGTGTCCAACCAATTTTGCACTTACTTTGCTGTCCACTTATTTAGTTTATATCCCACCATTCTGAACATAAGGAGACTATAAGAGACTGTGCCAAAGGCTTTGCTAAAGCTAAGGTAAGCATTGTCCACTGTTTCACATTTCTTCACAAAGGCAGTCATCTTATTGTCAAGACAATTGGATTAGTTAGGTATGATCCACCCTGAATAAATTCACACTGGTCTTTCCCAGTTACTTTCTTGTCCCTCATGTGGCTGGAATCAAATTCCAGATGTACTTGCTTTGTGAAATTCCCAGAAAATGAGCTGTGGTTGACCAGTCTCTGTAGTTCTCCAGACTCTCTTTCTTGCCCTTCTTCAAGGTGAGGGCAGTACTTACCTTTTTCTGGGCTTCAGAAACCTTCCCCAATCAAAGGGGAAGATCAGGAATGATTAGACAGAAAGTAGATTTAAAGCTTAGATAGTGAGCAGCCTCACAACAGTATCAGCCAGCTACCTTAGCATGCTCAGATGCACCCTGTCTGGTCCCACGGACCTCTGCATGTTGATTGGTTTAATCTAGTTGCGTGAGCTAGAGCAGGCTGCCCAGGAACAAGTTCTGTTGGGTTTTAAATATATCCAAGGATGGAGACAACCTCTCTGGACAACCTATTCCACTATTCAGCAACCCTTCCAGAATAAAAAGCATGTTCTTATACTTAGATTAAATTTAATGTGTTTTAATTTCTGCCCACTGCCTCTTGCCCTTTTACTGGGCATCACTAAGTCTAGCTCCATCTCCTTTAAACCCATCTATATAAACATCGGTAAGATCCGCCCCGAGCCTTCTCTTTTCCACGCTACGTAGTCTTTTCTCTCTCAGACCCTCCTTATACAAGAGATGCTGTAGTCCCATAATCACAACCTTGTGGCCTTTCACTGGACTGAATCCCTTAAGTCCATGTCTTGCCTGTATTGAGGAGGCCAGTATTGGACACAGGAGAGTCAAAAGCACATGGCATTGTTAGAAAAGTCAAGTGAAACAGCAGACAAAACTTCTTACCTGTTTTCTGTCTCCAATTCATTCTTCCGCAAGTTTGCATCATCAAGAAGGCTCTGCAACAAGGCAATCTTTTCATTGTCAGAACCTTCTTGGTTCAACTTTAACATCTTGTTCTCATGCTGAAGGCGAATGAGTTTCTCCCTAAACAAATAAAATACAATTTTGTACAAAAAAGTATGCCAATCTCTATAAAGAAGAAAACAATTTACCACAAGAGGTGTAAAAATAATGTAAAGATCATCTTTACCTACTTAAGGGAGACAGCTAAAACAACAAAACGTCTTCAAACCTCCAAATACAAACCTGATTAATGGAGCTGTAATTGTAGAAAGCACAGCACAAGGAAGTTGCCAGAGTGCCCCTAGTAGATCTCAGGGTACAGCTGGACAGATTTATAGGTAGAACACGGAGAACACAAATCTTGGTACCAAGTGTTAAGGGAGGCTTTAATCTCAGCTGTCACTGAACTACTGCATGAACCTGGGCAAGTCACTTCTATCCTGTTGGTCTGTTTTCATAGGATCATAGAAACATTAGATTAGAAAAGACCCTTAAGACCACTAAGTCCAACTGGTAACCTAACACTGCCAAGACCAGCACTAAACCATGTCCCTAAGCACCTTGTCTACCCATCTTTTAAATACCTCCAGGGATGGTGACTCAATCACTTCCCTGAGCAGCCTGTATCAATCCTTGACAACCTTTTTGGTGAATAAATATTTCCCAATATCCCATCTAAACCATGCCTGGTGCAACTTGAGGCCCTTTCCTCTCATCCTATCTACTTGCTACCTGGGAAGAAACCAACATGCACTTCGCTACACCCTCCTTTCAGGTAGTTGTAGAGAGTGATAAGGTCTCCCCTCAGTTTCCTTTTTTCCAGACTAAACAGCCCCAGTTCCCTCAGCTGCTCCTCATCAGACTTGTGCTCTAGGCCATTCACCGGCTTCACTGCCCTTCTCTGGATGCACTCCAGCACCTCAGTGTCTTTCCTGTAGTGAGGGGCCCAAAACTGAACACAGTATTCAAGGTGCAGCCTCATCAGTGCTGAGTAGAGAGGGATGATCAATTCCCTGGTCCTGCTGGCCACACTATTTCCAACACAGGCCAGGATGCCATTGGCCTTCTTGGCCACCTAGGCACACTGCTGGCTCATATTCAGCTGGTTGCTGACCAACACCCCCAGGTCCTTTTCCACCAGGTTCTTCCAGTCACTCTTCCCCAAGCCTGTAGTGTTGCATGTGGTTGTTGTGACCCAAGTGTATGGCTCGGCACTCAGCCTTGTTGAACCTCATGCAATTGGTCGTGACTCATCAATCCAGTCTGCGCAGACCCCTCTCTAGAGCCTTCCCATTCTCAAGCAGACCAACACTCCTGTCCAACTTGGTGTCATCTGCAAACTGACTGAGGGTGAATTTGATCCCCTTGTCCAGACCATTGTTAAACAGAGCTGGCCCCAATACTGAGCCCTGGGAAACACCACTTGTGACTGGTCGTCAATTGGCTTTAACTCCATTCCACACCACTCTTTGGGCCTGGGCTTCCAGCGAGTTTTCCACCCAGCAAAGAGTACACTCGTCCAAACCATGAGCAGACAGTTTCTCCAGGAGAATGCTGGGGGAAATGGTGTCAAAGGCTTTACTGAAGTCCAGGTAAATGACATCCACCGCCTTTCCCTCACCCAGTAAGCAGGTCACCTTGTCACAGAAGGAGATCAGCTTAGTCAAGCAGGACCAGCCTTTCATAAACCCCTGCTGACTGGGTTTCATCACCTTTTGTCCTGTATGTGATGTGTGATGGCATTCAAGATGATGCACTCCATAACCCTCCCTGGCACCAAGGTCAGACTGACAGGCCTGTAGGTCCCTGGATCCTCCTTCTGGCCCTTCTAGCAGATGGATATCACATTTGCTAACCTCCAGGAAGCTGGGACCTCCCCGGTTTGCCAGGACTGCTGATAAATGATGGAAAGTGGCTTGGTGGGCACTTCTACCAGCTCCCTCAGTACCTTGGGGTGGACTCCCTCCCATCCCAGAGACTTGTGTTTGTCTAAGTAGTATAGCAGGTCACTAACCATTACCCCTTGGATTCATTCTGCTCCCTGTCTGTCTTCCAGCTCAGAGGGCTGGCTACCCCAAGAACAACTGGTCTTCCTAAAACTGAGGCAAAGAAGGCATGAAGTATCTCAGTCATTTCCTCATCCTTTGTGACTATGTTTCCCCTCACATCCAATAAAAGATGGAGATTCTCCTCAGCCCTCCTTTTGTTGTGAATACATTTTTAGAAAGATTTTTTAATTGTCTTTTCCAGCAGAAGCCAAATTAAATTCTAGTTGGGTTTTGGCCCTTGTAATTTTCTCCTTGCGTAACTTCATGACACCTCTGTAGCTCTCCTGAGCTGCCTGCTCCTTCTTCCAAAGGTCATAAACTCTCTTTTTTTCCTGACTTCCAGCCAAAGCTCTCTGTTCAGCCAGGCCAGTTTTCTTCCTGCACATAAGAACAGCCTGCTTCCATGCCTTCAAGATTTCCTTCTTGAAGAAAGTCCAGCCTTCCTGGACATCTTTAGCCTTCAAGTCTGCCTGCCAAGTGGCCCCATCAACCAGTTTCCTAAACAGGCTAAAGTCTGCCCTCTGAAAGTCCAAGGTAGCAGTTCTGTTAACCCCTCTTACTTCTCCAAGAATCAAAAACTCTACCATGATTGCTGTGCCCAAGACAGCCTCCAACCATCACATCATCCACAAGTCCTTCCCTGTTCACGAACAACAGCTCCAGCAGGGCGCCTTCTCTAGCTGGCTCACTCACCAGTTGTGTCAGGAAGTTGTCTTCCACACACTCCAGAAATCCCCTAGACTGTTTCCTGTCCATTGTATTGTGTTTCCAGCAGACATCTGGTAAGCTGAAGTCCCCCACAAGAACAAGGGTGAGCAATTGTGAGACTCCTGCCAGTTGCTTATAGAATATTTCATCTGCCTCTTCATCCTGGCTGGGTGATCTGTAACAGACTCCCGACATGATATCTGCCTTGCTGGCCTTTCCCTTGACTCTTACCAACACTTGACCCTTTCATCACCATTGTCAAACTCTAGACAGCCAAAATACTCCCTAACATACACAGCTACTCCACTGCCTCTCCTTCCTTGCCTACCCTTTCTGAAGCGTTTATAGCCATCCATTGCAGCATTCCAGTTGTGTAAGTCATCCCACCATATTTCTGTGATTGCAACTATATCACAGTTTTCCAACTGCACAATGGCTGACAACCCCTGTTTGTTGCCCATGCTGCATGCATTGGTGTAAATGTACTTCAGCTGGGCTATTGATCCTGCCACCTTTTTCTGGGAAGAAGCCCTAATTCCTATGTGACTGTTCACAGGTGCTTCCATGGCTTCTAACGCATCAGCAACCCTAATGTCTTTAGGGCCACGTGCATCTCCATTCCTTTCCTCCACTGAGGTGGCTAAGGTGCTCCATGTATTAGTACAGGGACATTTCAAATGTGCTCATGATGGAGAAGACTGAAGGATATCACTAGCACACCATCCCTCAAATACTGGCATGCCACAGCCAGGCTTATCTCTAGCGAGCCTGGTTTTACCCCTTTCCCCTTTCAAATCTTGTTTAAAGCTCTTTCACTGACCCCTGCTAACTGCTAACTCCATACCACTTAACTTGCTGATTCCCTCAGGTGCAACTGACAGGCCACAGACTCAATCTGCCCCATGAAACTTACCCATTTGGTCTGCAGGTCTTCTCCATGAGATGGAGAAAGGTGCTTGAGCACAGACCCATGCTCTGTCACCATGGAGGGAACAAGAGAGTAGTAGCTACTCCTATATGTGGGCTGCCTTGTGCAGTCTTCCCCCTTCAACAGCAGAGGTAGCAACCCAGACCTCCAGATAAAGAAGTTCCAGTCCCAAGGCAGCCACTGCTACTGCCACCTCTATCAAGCAGCCATGGAGGCCAAGTTTAGCAAGTAGACTGCAAGCAGTCTGCGTAAAATCCAGAATTCATCTTCAGGAAACAAAGATGAACAGTCAGTGAAAACGCAGGCTATGCTTGAGTATTTATGGCATTTAAGGTCTTGTCCTCTTTCATGCAATCATGTGGAAGTTTTATGCAGTAACTCCATACTTCACTAATGCTGCCTAAAAATGTTATTCTTTTCTTTTGTTGTTTCCGAACAAAACTAGAAAGAATTGCTCTTGTAACAGGGTGCAGCAGCACAGCTGGAAGAAAAACAAATCTTTCCTATCACTAGCTTTCTGGAAAGATTATTTACATACTGAACAGTCTGTTTTGACCCCATATTGAGCTTTCCAAGTGATAATATACTGTATCAGTATTGGTATAGATAAAAGATTTCCTGAAGAGCTAACAGACATGACTGTCTTAAAATCTTTTAGCATACTGGCACAGCTAAACACAGCCTGCAACATCTTAAGATACAATGATTTTTAGCTCTGCCACTGCTTTTAATAGATTGTAAACATTTGCCATGATACAAAACAGAATTTATAATCTACTCTTCCTTTCACAATTTTACTAATTTTTTCCTCACATAACAACAAATTCTTGTTACAAACAACTTTGTCTGTTAATGCACATATAAGCTGCAGTTATATGAACTCTCTGCAGCAAAAGAAGAGACACAATGTGAGGATAAAGGGGTTTTTTGTTTCCCCCTTTTTTTTTTGGAGCACAATACAAATGCAAGAGAGGTTCACTGGATTTTGGCTTAAGCATAAAAGCTCCCATTGTACAGAAATACAGAAGGAGAGAAAAAAGAAACATAAATTGTAGCAACTTTCTAACACTGAAAACTAACTAATCATCTATAGGTTCATTATAAAGGTTAGTAAAACAATGCACATATTAGCTTACTTTATTTCGGGAGTAACAATTTCCGCTGCTAAACTATCTGAAGGCTCTTGTCTTCCCAGAGGCATCAATCCTGGGTTAGGAAAAGTAAAAAAATTCAGTAAGCAGACCAGTAACTTTCTTTAAAAGACCAGAAATAAACATTGTTCTAGAAGTTTACAGTTTGAGAGTGATGTTAGATAATGGAAAATGACACAAAGCCTACAGCAAGAGAGACAGACAGGCACAATTTCATTTGGAGAACAATCATTATTTCTGCCTTCATTCTGATGAAGTAATTTTGTGGTGTATTTTCTTCTCATTAGCTTATCTAAGAACTACAAAGCTGTGCAACATTATACATAGAAATAAACTGCAATACATGAAACATCATACACACATGAGAAAACTTAATGTCTCTCTAAAGCAAATTAAGTAACTACAGAGAAATCAGAAATACATTACAAAAATGTCACACTGGGAGGAGATAAAAATTTATGATTGACTGAAATAGTGTTTGACGTTTTCAAATGCTTACGAAGTTATGAACAGTTGAAGCAGCTTTTCACTGCTGATCTTAGAGGAGTATAAATTTATTCTGTGCTAAACAAAAGCATATCCAACACTCTCCAGAGAAGTCCTATGAACTTTAGAAAAGATGCAATTAATCTCCTTATTTGTCCTTTACCTGTAGCAGTGAGTTGACCCTCCTGAGCCTGTACACATCTAAGCTCTTCAATAGTTTCTTTCAAAGAATCTCTTTCTGTTCTTAATCTCTGAATAATTAGAAAGAGAATGAATATCAGTTTTGGCAGTACAAATCTATCTTTAACCATACACAAGTCACCAAAAAGCACAGCCTTCAACACTTTAAAAAGAATTTAATGCAATTCCAGAGATAATTTTTAAATTAAAGGCATATCAGTCTATTTCATAACAGAATAAACATAAATATTATATATTACACACAAACAGTGGGGTTTTTTTGAGAAGGGCTGCTGCTCTGTATTACCTTTGCGGGGGTAAAAATATCAGGGTATAAGCTTAAAAAAAAAATCAAGATATTAGTGACACAAAGTTCTGGTACCAGGTAGTAAACAGCCCCCTGGAGCCACTCAGTCATCCTCCTTTTCCCCTCATCAGGGCTGATTCCAAAGGAAAGGGAAGTGAATTAAGAGACTGTAGACTCTTACCTCACCAAGAAACCAAGCTTTAGCCAGGAGTGAAATAAAAAGCAGGTGAGTACACAGTCAATATAACAAACAAACTGCATTAACTTAATTTTGTTTGTCTTTCAACAATGAAGGTGTGAGCAGCTTTTCCATATTCCCTTTTTCCTGTTTGTCAACAGGCCTTGCCATTCACCAGCATCTCAGCTATGGCAGAAAACCAGCTGCTTCAGGCTCAATCCAAAGAGAATTGAGGAACAGGACTGTACCACCTTGGGATCTAGACAGATGGGCTCTTCAGTAGCATCGGGCAAATACTCTCCCAATGTCACACAAGTCTCCTTCTGGCAAAAAATGAGAATCTACAGGTAGCATCAAGTTTTTGTCCAGAAGATTGTCAAGATTCAAAAATGAAAGGAGAAAATGGCAATTATGTAAAGATCCAAGTTGTTGTGTTCTCCAAAATCAGACATGTCCAGTATTACTAAGAAGTCCAGGACAGACCTCGGCTGTGCATAGATATGGAGTTGTGTCAGCTGACAGGTCCTTGCTTTTCATCCTATTGCCAATTTGATTCAGATATATTTTATATTTCAGCCCAAACAGATCTAGGACTTGGAACCATTTTGGCAAAGAATATTTTGGTGAGGTGTGACAGAGGGTTCTGCTGTATTTCTGAATCCTGCAAGGTGAACTCTGGTGCAACTACCATAACAATCTGAATAAAATGTACATTCTGTTAGCACTAAAAGTCATTTCACAAACCACACAAGTGAAAAAACTGGTTTTGCCATAAATACTACAGAAGGGCCACGCAGAGGAGTGCTCAAACTCAGCTGCTGAAAGCAAGGATTCTGCAGTTTGCTACTGTCATCCAGAAAACACCAAGCCCATTAATCAAATGCCAGAATATTTAAATGAATAGAAAAAGCTCTAGGGCTCCACTTGTACACTGCAGACAAACTCAACTCACCAAATTATCTTAGTACTTATCATACAGCACACCACTGAGGCTAAATTCCAAGCTACATCGCTGAAATATCAAACACACTACCAGACTTTGCCAGAACATAAAGATAAAGACAAAATCAATTTCAGTAACTGTTTCCAAAATACAACTGACAAGATACCACTATGTAGCTTGTGACCTGTGGTGGGCAATGTTACTGATCTGTACGTGACAACAGGTAACAGAAAGACTAGGTAATACAGGTCATGAATCACTTATTCAAATGTTGAGAGACTCAAGCTATAACCTACTTCTCACAGGTGCATATCCACTTGAAAGAATGTACTAAAAAACTACACCACCCTCAAAAAATACTGTTTGCTAGGGGGTAAAACAGAGAACTATACGACAACGGTCTGCAATTCAGATCCTTTGTGCAAGATGAAATGGTCCACCAAGCAATGAGTAAGCCACAGACACCACTGTAAAACATAATAAAACTGGAAAAACAAACTTTAAATAAAGAACAGGAAAGAAAGCCAAAGCAGAGTATGCAAACAGTCACTATGGACATTCCAATATGAAGGGCAGATGGAAGTGATATCAAGGACAAGTGTTCACAATAGTTTGAAGATTTAATAAAATAAGGAAATCAAAGACCTATTAACAGAAAATAACCGAAAACTTTCAGTTCAAATGCTATACAAGTCCACAGGCTGGAAATTTTGGAAAGAACTGGACAGGAAATATGGCTATTGAGGGAAAAGCCTACAGAGATTCTGACTGATGGATGGATAGATAGATGGACTTATACTTAAAACAAGCATAAGAAATTGATAAAGTGCTGGCTTGGTTTGAGGTAGTCTGAGGCACCTGCGTATATATTGCTAAGAAACAAGGTGAAAAAAAACTCTCGAGAAACAACAGTGTGCAAGATAAGTCTGAAGTATCAAAATTGGCAAGAGAGGACAGAGCAATTAATTGCAGAAACACCAGCAGTGAATGACATAGAGGAAGGGAATAGACTGGTGTCCATCCTGCGTGTTCCATGTTGGCAATACAAGACAGATAGGAGCTGTCATAAAAGGCGAGACTGCCACAAAGGACATGTCCCTCTACCCGACTCCTAAGCCTCTTTCTGCAGTAGTCATGACTCCATTAAGAGAAACAGTCTGATGGTAACTCAAAGAATGCCTTAGAAAAATGCAACAATAGTTTAGTTCTAGGATGATACTGCAGAAACGCTACTTTAAATAGTTTTTCAGAATACATTACAATTACCCTGGGTGTTTATTAACGTTCTCGTGGTAAATGGTCAAAAAACAACTTCAGATCCCAAATAAGTAGGCTTCGCCTCTTAAAAATGGGTTGCATATGTTTTTATACAGTCACTTTATTCCATGCTGTACAGGTCTTAGATTTAAAAAGGATCTTGTACACAAACATTAGAAAATTTTAAGTGAAAAAAGACTTCCTAATTTAAGAAGCTTGCTGTAAATGGCTAACTACAATACTGTATCTCTGAGTTATAAAGGACACAAAGTTGCTATCGCTACTACCGAAAAAATAACACCTTGGCACTTACATCTTTTTCTTTTTGGAGGCTGTCTACTTTTTCTTTCAGTCGTTTGCATTCATAATCTAATTTATCAGCTTTCTTGGATTCTTCAGATAACCTGTTTTGTAGTTCAACTGCCTGTGAGAACAAGAATCAATAATTTGTCTGCAAATATTAATATTAAAACAAAATACACAAGAAAAGTAGCCCACTACCATGCACCAAGAGTCATGTTGTAAACAAGTGAAATAATTACCTATAGGACATACTAAAAACTGCAAAAACAACAGCATTCAAATATTAAGTCTTAGCACAAGCATAAGAAGCAAAAACTGTGAAGTTTTTTCAGTACACCTGAAAACAAGAATTTAAGCTCAAGCATGGTTTACAGAAAAAAAGCTATATAGATAAATGGATCAAAGAGCTTAGGAAAAGTAGAAAAATCCTCCTGCTTTCTGAGAAGCTAAGAAAAAGAAAAAAACTCAGAAGAAAACAAATTATCTATATCTTTTGTTAGTTTTATTTCACAAGCCTCACTCAGAATTCAATCGCTGGTTTATGCAATCAGGTAATGCTTCTTAACCTGAGATTTTCCTAATAATTTTTAATACACTAATATAAAGATTCAGACACAGGCTTATAAACAGTATTCTTTACTTCAGAAGGAAACACTGCTAACAAAGTCACATGTATACTTTCAACTACGGATCAGTAAAGAGCTTTTAAAATTAAATGAGCAGAAATCTGAAAGCTGAGCATAAACAAGCAGCGAACAGGAGGCAAATCAGTGAAGTCTTGCCTTTTCAAAACAGCCTCTACTAGCAAAGGCTCATTCCCAGGACATTAGTAAAGCTCATAATGCAGAGAGCATGGAAGCAAGTAAGCTGAATAAAGACTGACCTGCAAACACAAGAGCTAAATGAAGACTCAGCTGAAGACGCACAGCTTCTTCTGAAGCAATTAATAAGGTTTTTTCATGGCTTTTAGATTACAGAGAAAGTGACTGACTTAAATTGTGAAGCAAAGCACCAGCCATACCTACATAAAAACTATTTAATGGTTCTAATTACCTTCTATTTTCAATGTGTTTAGCTATAGCAAAATAACTGCACGGTCTAAGTCTTAGAGAAGGATTTTGCTGTTGTTCTTAAATTAAGGGCTGCAAAAAAAGCTCTGGCCTGCTATTTCTGAGATTATCAGATTAAAAAAAAAAAAGGTGCCAAAATGTTAGATACTAAAACGTTTCATTTCTGAGATGTGACATCCATCACTGGGGCTATCAGAATAACTGCAGATATAAAAAAAAATAGTAATAATAAAATGCAGGCCTTCACCTGTGATTGTGCCCCCACTTGCAAAATAGGTATATTTTAACCTCAGATGGAAACAAATGCATTAATGTTTGTAATCACTCATGCTATGGTAATGGTATGCAGAAAAACACAGCGGGAAATAATTGTCTCAAATAATGACTTTGGAGTGTATATAAACACATACAGCTACATGGTAATGCAGAAGATTAAAAAATATAACTGCTATTACATTTACTGAGCATTATCTGGCATGTGGAATGAGTAAAGCAGGAATCTTGCAGCAAAGAAAAGCAAGACATTGTTAAAAATATATCGGAATGCACATGCACAAAGGGGCTGAATTAAATCACAAAAAATAACCCTGGAATCTTCACATTTAAATTCTTCATGATGCAATAAAAGGTTTCTTAGAAAATGCTTGTGCTTGCTTCTAGAAAAGTGAACAGAAACTCTTCAATAAATAAATGCTATTACATCTCCTAGCACAATACACCACTACTAACCTAATCTCATAGAAACTGCTGGGTGGGGTGAAGATGCGATTTCCTGGCACATCACTACAGAAGTTTGAACCAAGCACTTTCATTTGCACAGCACAGAGCTTTTAAGCCAAAGAAATAACTCCTCTGATGGCATCATCATGAGTGGGGTTGGATCCTTCACACACCAGACAAGACACATTCCACTACAGGGGCACTCTAGTGCTCAGCAGTGACATAACACCAGAATCGTTACACCTGGCTTAACTCTTATATCACAGTTTAGGATTCCCAGAAATTAATTTTGTGACAGTTCATGATTCACAGGCCGGTCTCAAAAGGAGCCCAGCCTTACAGACACTGAAGGCAAACACACTGTGTGTTCATTTTGAGGCACTGTGGTTAGGTGAAGAAAACTTGTGTCTGTCACATGAGAAGCCTGAGGTTTACTCCAGTCTCAGCCAGCAGAACAGTTTTGTACAAATGAACTCCTGTCAGACATGAAATCCTACCCATAAAACACAGGGAACAATGAAGAAAAAGAGGAGTACATTTGCAGCACAAACAATGGGACTGCCCCTTCCAAAATCCTCATTGTTGGTGAAATAAGAACGATCAGATGCAGATGTTGAGGTTACATAACTACATCACATGCTCAGTTGTTCAAAGGAGCTAAATATTTGTTGCCAGTAAACATGATACTACTCAAGGCCATTGCTTTCTACGTTTACTTTTCCCTTTGACTGTCTGTTTTGTCAGCATTTTTCTTGTCCAAGTTCTTTTTTTCTGGTAGAATCATTTGGACTGTACTTACAATTAGCCAACAGAGGCTGAAGGTAGTTGTCTTAATAACTAAGATGGCCAGGTGCAGTGAAAAAGCTATCCAGTCTTAGGGACACACACTGCTCCTGGGCTTGCAATATTGTTAGAGGTTGTATCTCTATTTTTATGTTGCTGTAAGTTGACATGTAGGGACCTCTCTGTAGGGACCATTCAATCTTATGAGTAGGCAGAAATACAGAGCAGGCACTATTGCTTTAAGGTACTAGGCTCTGTCTGGCCCTGTAACAAGAATCCCAGAATGATGTCATGTTAATGTAGTGTGGAAGCAGAGAAAAGATTAAGTACATATTCTACCTTTACAGAAAGAGGATCACATGGCACTTTGACAAGCAGGAGGATAAACAGATACCTTTCACTCCAGCAAGTGTGCTGGTGACACATTTTGTACTCTGCTGCATACATATAAAAAACAGGGATGATATGCATCCTTCTGCCTTCATAACTGGACAAATTCAGATGTATCAGACAAACCCAAACCTTAAAAAAAGAGGTTATTTAACCACAGGAATAACTTACCTTAGCTGTGGTGCACTCCTCACTGCCAGAAATTTGTAAGTGAAAAGTCAATATTTTTTCTGAAAGAAGAGGCTCTAATTCAAGCCCCACTACTGAATATGAACTAGGAAAATTTGAGAAAAAAATTTCAACATCTGTTCATTTTTAAAAAAATAAGAAATGCTGCTTATTGGCAAGCTAATGTAAACTTGAGATAATGATAAGAATTGCAGGAAAGAACATGGAACTCTTCTAAACACAAGGAGCTGTTTGTTCATCATTTCTTTTTTACTTTGAGATATCAGCCATGTTATGAAGAGAATGTGTTGAACAATACAGAGAACTTTTGCACTGATTATGTCTGTTCTTACCTGTCTCTTGTATGTTTCCAGCTGACTGCGTGCTGCATTGGCCTTCCTTAGTTCTTCTTCCAGGCTCACAGTATTTTGCATGTACATTGTATTCTTCTCTTCTAAGAGTTTCACTTGCCGTCGCAAATCACCCAGGTCTTCCAGTTTCTTTTTGTACGACTCTACCTGGCTTTCTAACTTGGCTACTTTATCAGAAGAATGCCTGGAGGAACAGATTTATATCAAATTGTACTCTGAAAACTAAGAAAATGAAATGTCCTCAGTATTTTGCCTTAATGCAGACGTCATTCTGAGACATCATGGGGAGAACGAGAAAGTAATCATATCCTCCTATTACTAATGTCTTCACTTTTAAATTGTTTGCTTCACTCCCATAACTATTTGTCAATTCAAAGAGCTACTCATGGAGGTACTTTTAGTCACTATCACTCTTCCTAATACAGCCTTCTTAGCTACTTCCAACCTTAAAATAATAGATAAAGCACCTTCACTCCCACTTGTTTCCTTTCAATTCTAAATCGATCCTCACTCCAGCATTTTATAAGGGTAAAGAATAAAATTTTATGCCCTTCAATTTGTTTTAATGATAGCTAGGAATAAAATCATAAAGATTAATCTCCCGGACAGCATATATTTGATGACACAGAAGTAACATAACAGCTTTGGAGCCCAATTTCTTCTGAAAAAAAAAAAAATAAAAAAAAAATAAATTGAAACACTAGGTTCCATTCGTAACATTTCAGAGTTTTTTCAGTCCACCTGGTGCACTGCCGGAACAGCAATAGCCCTTACCCCAACCACCCACACCCCTGCTGCTATTACTGTCCCCAGTTTCATTTTAGAACTAACCAATTTATAGACTCAGTTTCCTATGAAATCTGGAGAATCCCTCACTGAACCCATGGTCAGCTTATGGGACACTGGGACAAGCCAAATCTCCTTAATCCCCAGTGATGTGCAGAGTCTCTCTCTCTGGGGCAAGGAATTAGTCTCTGAACCCATGCTGCCCTCGCAGTTTATGGAACGGTGCAGCCTGATGGCCTTGTTCCTGATATTACTAACAGAACACGTAAAGACAGAAAGCTTTGGTAGAAAGCTGCTGGTGAATTAGAAACAGCAGTATTAAAATAAGTCTTGCTAGAAAGAGTGATACAGGGGGGTAGTGGGTAACTGTTCTGAATAACCCATGGCAGCAATACACCATCACTGAAGGATTATGTTCAATAGTAAAAGGGGCTGCCTCACCTTATAAACCCCTAGCATCATCAAATCATAACAATTTTGGGTGACAAAATCCAGCAGAATAGAGAGCTGTAACAGATGTTGTTCACAGTAGCATTATGAACCAAAACTGCCACCCGAAGTCCAAATACTGCAAACCCAGGAAAGGAAAGGGTCTAGTTCCCTAATGAAAACAGATGCCTAAGTCATGATGAGGGTGAGTAGAGAATACTCAAGAGACCAGTTAAGTGACTTGTTATGACCATAAGATGGCGTAGGAATGCTAAACTTAGTAGTAGTTATTGATTAGGTACATAATAAATAACTAATTGACATAACCAGAATTGTGTGGTGGTTGTGTACTTAACTAGAGGATCTAAAAGCACCTTGGCATTGAGAAAGTGTTTATATTTAATATTAAAATTATTTAAACAAAAGATAATGAAGACTAAGTAGATTAATCATATAATTTAGATATATATAATTAAAAGTTAAATATATATAGATATATATAATTAAAAATTTAAAAAGGGTTAATGGAACCGAGTTTACCTGAGTACATCTATCTCATCCTTCAAAGACTGAGCCTCCTCTGCCAGTGTAGTAAGCTCTTCTGTTTGTTGTCTCAATTCAGCAATTTCCTTTTCTAGTTCTTCACAGCGTATTCGATAGTCATCTTTGGCAGCTTCTAATCTGTAGAATTGAAATAAACCAGAAAATAATTTCTCAGCTTGAGCCACAGTTACCTTTCCTCATCATCATCCTCTCTAAAAACACATGAAATGGTCTTCTGGTGCAGTGAAGGAGAACAGCAGGCCAATGTGTTTATTCAAAACCATAGAAGCTGATCGATGACTTTGATGCTCCCAATTTGACCTCAGTCTTTCTATTTGGAAAGGTAGAGTATGTTCTCAAAAAGACACATCCAGAGCTGCTTCTGTCAGTAATTTTTCACAGTGGAAGCTTAAGCAGAAATTTCTATTTATTTTCATCTTGGGGCATATAGAGTTTGCATGACATCTTTATTCTAAGATTTTGTTCAGCCGTTCAACTCCTAGACAATATTGACCTGATTGTTCTAAATGCTGTAGAGCTCTCACCAAGGTGGCTTGCTTTTACTTACTTATAAAGAACCTGTGCCTGCCCAGTACCCCTAAAGAACCAAGTCATACATTTAGCTATCTAGTTAGCATGTAAAGAACTCAGAGCAAATTTTCTGGAATGAACTCCTTACATACAGCATACACAGGCAAAGCTGCATTAACCTGGCAGTAAACAAAGGGAATAACTAAGAGAAACTTTGTCAAAGCATTTTGTACAACTGGAAGAGGACACAACCTGGATGGAACACCAAGTCCTTTTGTGATTTTGATTTCAAATTAAAATAAAAACAATTCAGAAAAGGAGATACGGGGATGGAGGGGGGGAAGGAGGGGGGAAGGGGGAAGTATTCTATGCATTAATTCAAGAAGTCCAAAAAGAATCAACAAGAACAGAGAGAAGAGACAGTCAGTAGGTCATCTAAACCATATACATCAAAGACTTGGAACCTGACAAACTGGAATTATTAAAGGACATAAAGAGGCAAGACTGGGAGAAAAAGTGCTGTACCATACTGGGCATCAGTTTAGCTGTACATATGTCCCGTTTGGTCAGATAGAGCTGGAGAAGGAACACACACAAATTGCCATCAGAAACCATATGCTATGAAGGCAGGGGAAGGAGGCAAAGGAGGTTGGGAGATGAGTCTCACAAGTGAAAGGGTTTAGAAAGAAGGGTTCAGAACCTGAAACTAGAGTAACAGGTAGTGCAGATATTGCATATGGGGAGAAAACCTGTCCAAACTGGAACTGATAATAGACTCAGGCAGGAATCATTCCAGAGCAGAGAGATGAATAAGGAGAGGCAAAGGGGAATATCAGAGAGACATCACTATTCCTTTACACAGCAGATGTATAGAAAGAAGAAAACCAGGCAGCAGCTGCTATGAAAGAGAAACACTGAAAATTTTATAGGGAACTGAAGGGAGAGGGTGTGTCTGAACACGCAGGAAAGAGCTAAAAAGCAGAAATGGGAAAACGGCAAAACAGGCAAAAAAGGAAAGTTACATGGCAGCTGATGTAAGAATTAGAAAACGGTGACCACAAGAGGACAGAAAGAGAAGAAAAACTGTCAGTGTAAAAAAATACCATAGTTTCACTCAGAAAGTATAAGGAAAGTACAGCAGCAAGAATGAAAAGATGACAGTGAAGTAGACAAGCTTTCTTCAGCAGAGCAGGCTTACACAGCCTGAAAGCAACAGTAAAAAGGACCAAGAAGGATATTTAAAGAGGAACTGTACTTCCATGTGTTGAGGAAATGCAAAAAAAGAGCAGAACTCACTTGCGGATAATCTCCATCTTTCAGATACAAAAAAATTAGTTTTCAAACTCAGAGAAGGACACACTTTGCTGTATAATACCACCTGTAGTACTGCCCGTAGCAAACTTTCAGCTAGAAATTCCTATACTTTAAAACTACAATCAGAATAATATACATAAAGGAAAGTATGCTACTTTTCACACTCACTGATTTTGAAAAACATGAGTGAAATGATTGTGCACAAATAATCTAAAATAACTTCACAGAGTAGAGAGTCACATGTATACAGTATTGCAGCACTAATAAATTATGCTTTTTTTTAATGCTAGAGCTTATAAAGAGGTAAGTTGTAACACAATGTGATAGTTTAACATAGCTGGCAGCCAAAC